TATTAACGTTCTACAGTATAAATCCTAAATAATAATATTATTAATGAAAAAAAAAATTATAATATTAATAATATTTAAAAAATGTTGCAACTTTCGTTTCCCATATTCAAAATTTAAGCTTTATATTTCCTCACTAAAAAAGTTTACCTCTTTTTATCCTGATCATAACAAACTGTAAATGTACTTTCACCTTATATTTTGTAAAACATTACACAAACTATTAGCATTATAGAGTAAAAATCCTGAACAGTAATATTAATAATAATATTAAGAAAATGTCGCAACTTCATGTCACATATTCAAAACTCAAGCTTTATATTTCCTAACTAAAAAAAAGTCTGTTTTTTTTTTATCCTGATCATAACAAACTGTAACTGTGCTTTCTCCTTATATTTTGTAAAGCGCTACACAAGCTATTAGCATTATACAATAAAAATCCTGAATAATAATGATAACAATAATGTAACAATAATATTAAGAACATGTTGCAACTTTGTGTCACAAATTCAACACTCATGCTTTTTATTTTCTCACTCTTTCACTTTTTTTTTTATCCTGATCATAACAAATAAACGTCATTTTTACACAATTCCACCATATGGTAATTTTAAATATGTATTTAATTAATTACAATTGATGTATATTCTCTTTTTTTCCCTTTTAAACATTCCAGGATAATCATTCTTCCTACCTTTCCTTGTCAAAAGTATATTTCCTCAGACATAAGAGGATAGCCATTGATGTAATAATGATCAGCAACACAACAAGAGCAGCAGCCACTCCTCCATAAAGACCGGCTTTACTGACAGCTGTCTGACATCGGTCTCCTGTATACCAGAAATGGTCTGACATCTCACAGCTAGGAGGATATAAGAGGAAGAAAAATTAAAATTAAGACAGAATTCTTGCTCCACAACACACCTGCAAATTATTATTACAATATTCAATATATATATATATGTATATATATATATATATATTTATTTCAGGTACTTATATATAGCGCTGTCAATTTGCGCAGCACTTTACATATATATTTTATACATTCACATCATTCCCTAACCCTCAAGGGGTGTACGATCTAAGGTCCCTAACTTACATTCATACATACACATACTAGGGACAATTAGACAGGATCCATTTAACCTACCAGCATGTCTTTGGAGTGTGGGAGGAAACCGGAGTACCCGGAGGAAACCCACACAGGCACAGGGAGCACATGCAAACTCCAGGCAGGAGGGTGGTGCCGTGGCTGGGATTCGATATCTATCTATCTATATCTATCTATCTATCTATCTATCTATCTATCTATCTATCTATCTATCTATCTATCTATCTATCTATCTATCTATCTATATCTATCTATCTATCTATCTATCTATCTATCTATATATACATATATATTCTGCATATATACTGTTAGGTCAATGCAGCCAAAACAGAAATATGCTGAAATACATACCAAGGACTTTAACCCTTTCATAACCAGAGGTCATTAAAACCTACATTGTCAGGCCAAAGAGCATAGCTTCAGCGAAAGGCAGGAGAGAGACATCAGGTGTATAATAGACTTGTTGGGTATCATTTTACTCGGTACAACCTCATCTTTTATATGGTACCAAAAACTAGGTAACATTGTGTTTGCGTACACTAAAATACACGTTAATGTATTTTCATATGTTCGCTGTGTGTATATATATATATATACAGTATATATATATACTGTATATATAAAATATTGCAGTGATAGCTATAAAACACAACCGAAAACCCTTGAGCCGAAAGCGTGCTCAAACAAAACATCTTAATAATTGACAAATAATGTCCACTGCTGCCACCTTAACCAGTTGCCACCTGGCATATTGTACAATGACGGCTTGGCTAGCCTCTCGTCCCTCTGGTAGGTCATTACATGACGTCCTTCCTGGATTGTGCTGTGCGCAGGCCCGCAGGGCCGCTTTGTGGTGAGATCTGTCACAGGCCATGTACCTTGGACAGATCTGTGTACCGGCCCCAATGCCAGTACCATGTGACCTGCTGTGACCAATCACAGCAGGTCACATGACAGTTGTATACAATGGATGGCTTCCTTTCATGCCATCCATTGTATACAAGTGTGTCTAGCTGTGAATGGTCACAGCGATCACATGCACAGGCTGGGCCAATCACAGCCCATCTGTGTCGTGTGATTAGCCATGGCCAGTCACAGCTAATCGCAACAAAAAAAACTGAATGAATCGATTTCATTCAGTTAAATGCTTGTTTATAACAAAGAAATTATTTGCTATAAGCAATCAGATTGTGTAAAAAAAAAATACTGATCACTTCCCCAAAGTAGTACTGTGAGTAGAACCACAGACCCAACAGAACCACTGCAGCAAAGAGGTATGAATTTCACAAGCAGGAAACTGCAGGCTAAACTGTGACAATCATGAGTACCACCCCAGCTAGCTGATTGGGTAATAAAATAAGCAGCACACTAGAGGCATCTTCATTGCCAACCCTGCAGCAAGTCTACAGTAGGACATTGTCAGATTCCTATGGTAGTGAGTCCTGGTAGAAGGACAACTCGGGGTCCTGCAGAGTCTAAGCCCCCAGAATTCTTTTTCACGAGCGCAGACTGGTGAAAAAGACCTGTGCATTTGATCTCTGTGACCATTCACTTCTAGACACAGTTGTATACAATGGATGGCATGAAAGGAAGCCATCCATTGTATACAACTATCATGAGACCTGCTGTGATTGGTCACAGCAGGTCACATGATAGATTTGCAGCAGACTGGAACCAGGTCGTGGCCCCCAGGTAAGTCCAGCTGAAGATGCAATGACCAATCACATGTGCAGAGCACAGATAGCAGGAAGCAGAAGAACATCCAGGAAACAAGCTAAGGTCAGGGCATACAGCATATGGGAAAAAACGTTAGATGAAGCCAGGGTCGGTTCATGGGAAGTCAGACACAGAATACAAGTAATACACAAGAATCCAGGAGCATAGAGGAACTAGGAAGTTACTCAGGCAGTGTGAGCTGGACTGAGCATGTCTATATAGCAGTGTTTCTCAACTCCAGTCCTCATGGACCCCCAACAGGTCATGTTTTCAGGATTTCCATTATTTTGCACAGGTGATTTGATCAGTTTCACTGCCTTAGTAATTACCACAGCTGTTTTCATCTGAGGGATATCCTGAAAACATGACCTGTTGGGGGTCCATGAGGACTGGAGTTGAGAAACACTGCTATATAGAGAGTTGTAGACTGAGAGAGCATCCAGGAAGTGATAGAAGGGAAAAGGATATAAATGCACAGTAGAGCACTGACGTCCATAGGTGAACACAGAAGCCAGCAGCACATGTGAGTAGAACCACAGATCCAACAGAACCACTGCAGCAAAGAGGTATGAATTTCACAAGCAGGAAACTGCAGGTTAAACTGTGACAAACATGAGTACCACCCCAGCTAGCTGATTGGATAATAACATATGCAGCGCACTGGAGGCATCTTCATTTCCAACACCACAGAAAGTCTTGGTTGGCTAGTCATGTCTTTCCCTTAACCTGTCTGCTTTCTGCTATATAGTAGTTTAGGGGGGGGGGGGGGGTGATATCAAGACAGTTTCAGGTGCCCACACCAGCCAAGCTGAGAAATACAATTTTATTATCATTCATACACACAGTAATTGCATTCCTTTGTGACTTTTCTTCAATCGCCTTGCAGCTCAGATGTGGTTTTTGGATACAAAAAGTGCTTGGAGTTGTTTTTTTTTTTACATAGGGGAACCTCTTCTCTCCCCCCCAGGGAGCTGGACACCACCTATGTCACAGTAACAGCCAAAGGAAAGTGAATACTTTGGAAAGTAGTGATATACAACTTGGAACAGGAGAAGAGACAACTTACTAGCAGCTGGGTCCTTTGCTGTTCACTAGACATCGACCCTTATTACAGTCTATGAAATGTTGGTTGCTCTGACTGCAGTTGTTCACACACAAGAAGCCATCGCTGGGGGTTATAACACCGTAGAAATAGTGCTTGAATTCCTCAGGAATTGTATCCACTGTAGAACACAGGCCTGTAAAGTAAATGTATTACGCATTAAAGTGTGCTTTGTAGAGGTGAAAAAAATACAAAATAAATGTATTACTAAATATAGAATTAGGCTGGCCATAGACAAGTCATTTATCGGCTGAATTTTCGGCCAATAAACGAAAAATCAGTAGTTGCTGGCACCAATGTTGCCACCAATGTCCACGAAAAACATCAGTTTTTTTGTGGATTTTCCAGCATGACCGATAAAAGTAAACGAGAAGATACACGAAAAACGGCCAACGGGCTGGCCCCACTAACGGCATGAATATCGGCCGATTTTTCGTGCGGACGAAAATTCGGACGATAAACGTCCCGTCTATGGCCTGCATTACAATAAGAATATGTTCTGGAGATTTGATAGGAGTAGACCCACTTTAGGACCAGTTTATGCAATAATTAATAAACTGAGAATGTCTTAGATGCAAAACAAGTCAAGATTTGGAAAAGAAAATCCTCCAAATTAAATACAGGCAGTTCCCGAGTTACAAACATCCGATGTACATATGTACTCGAACTAAGAACAGAGGCAGCGTAACGTCACGCTGGTCCTGGAAACCGGGACCCAAAATCTTGCATTAGTTTAGTCATGTTTTAGGATTGTTAAGGTTTGCACATAGGCTATGTAGTCATTATATGTAGTTCTATATAGATACAGTTAGTCCTTTGTGCATAACTAGACTAGACTCCCATTGTAATGTACAGCGCTGAGCAAACTGTTGGCGCTATATAAATACTGTATAATAATAATAATAATAATAATAATAATAGACTCCCATCTGTCCTTTCAGTCTCAAATCCAATTGCTGTCCAAATCTTGTAGACTTCACCTCCAACATCTCCAAGATACGCCCGTTCCTAACCTCGGAAACTACTAAGCAACTTATTCACTCCCTTGTTATCTCATCTTGACTATTGTAACTCCCTCCTCATTGGCCGACCTCATCGCAGGCTATCCCTCTTCAGTCTATCATGAATGCTGCTGCCAGACTCATCCACCTTATTAACCGTTCTGTATCTGCCATCCCTCTCTGCCAATCCCTCCACTGGCTTCCACTCAGTGTCCTGCACCCCTCCCTGCCAATCCCTCCACTGACCTCCACTCAGTGTCCTCCACCCCTCTTTGCCAGTTCTTCCACTGACCTCCACTCAGTGTCCTCCACCCCTCTCTGCCAATCCCTCCACTGGCTTCCATCCCTCTCTGCCAATCCCTCCACTGGCCTCCACTCAGTGTCCTCCATCCCTTTCTGCCAATCCCTCCACTGGCCTCCACTCAGTGTCCTCCACCCCTCTCTGCCAATCCCTCCACTGACCTCCACTCAGTGTTCTCCATCCCTCTCTGCCAATCCCTCCACTGGCCTCCACTCAGTGTCCTCCATCCCTCTCTGCCAATCCCTCCACTGGCCTCCACTCAGTGTTCTCCACCCGTCTCTGCCAATCCCTCCACTGGCTTCGCATTGCTTAACAGCTAAAATTCAAAACATTAACAATAACATACAGTATAAAGCCATTTATAACTCTGCCCCAAATTACATCACCAATCTTGTCCCCAAATATCACCCAAACCATCCTTTCCGCTCCTCGCATGACCTCCTGCTCTCTAGCTCCCTTGTCTCCTCCTCCCATGCTCATCTCCAGGACTTCTCCAGAGCTTCCCCCATCCTCTGGAACTCTCTACCCCAATTCATCAGACTATCGCCTACTCTGCTCACTTTTAGGCGATCTCTGAAAACCTCTCTCTTCAGGGAGGCCTATCCTGCCCTCAGCTAATAATGGAATCTTCTACTCCTCCTACCAGTCCATCCCCCACAGTTACTACCTTTTGTACCATTAGCCCCTCCCTCCTAGATTGTAAGCTCCAAGGATCAGGGCCCTCCTATCCCTCTTGTATTGAACTGTATTTTTTCTGTATTGTCTACCGTTATATTGTAAAGCGCTGAGTAAACTGTTGGCGCCATATAAATCCTGTATAATAATAATAATATATAAATCCTGTATAATAATAATAATCAATATGTGCCACACTTCTATACATTATTTTTACCTGATACATCAAAGTCTTCTCTATTGATTGCGGTTCTACTTGAATTGAAGCACAAAATTCCTTTAATAGAAGAAATATCTAGTTAAATCATTAGACATACCTAATTTTCTTCAGATGTGAAAAACAGACATGACAGATGAGAGTAATAAAAAAAAGTACTTTAAATTATAATTATCATCTAAGGCAGTTTACATAAAACTATAAAAATAAAAAAGAAGAATGAAAGGTACAAAAAGAAAACACAACCTAAAAAAGGCAATCCCAGTTGCCTAGTTTTACAGGCTTTTCTTACTTATCTTTTTTTTGCTTTTTCTAGTTTTATTGATTCTTCTTTTTTATTAGTTTGTGTTTTATTATTTTTGGGAGCACCAGGTGGTTCTTTTTTAAAATCTAACACAAAACCATAAAACCATTTTTCACAACACTTCTTTAAAATAACTAGCAACCCAATGCTGCAAATAACTATAGATATCACTAAGTCTAGAGGGTCAAAAGCTATGGTTATATTTTCATCATGATTTGTTATGGCAAGTAGTCAATCTGAAGGTGAAAATGCTCAAACCTCACTGGTTTATAGTTTATATTAGTAACAGCAGTAAAATGGTGACTTCTAATTTATTCCTAAATCAGCCATAATTGCATTATTGCCTCAGGAAAGCTGCATACCCATTAATTGCAGGCTTACTTGTTTCTGTTTGTTTTTTTATATAAAAAAAAGTTATATATAAAAAAGTTTAAAAATTATAAATATATATATATATATATATATATATATATATATATATATATATATATAAAGTTCACCTTTTCTTAATATGTCCAATGTGCAGTTTAATTCCTTTAAAGATTCATAAATTATTTTCACAGCTTGTGCATGTTCCTCCGTAATGTTTTTAGAACTGACTCTCAAGTATACCTCATGATCAACACGAATACTTCCCTTGCTATAAAAGCAAAACAAAGAAAAAAAAATGTCAGTGTTTAAATTTAACACTAAATGAATAGTAAATAGAGACAAAAAGACAGAAAGAGTTTATTAATAAAATATTAATACAATATTACCTTTACTAATATTTGTATCAATTAATTCATTTAAACATTTAATTAAATACAAATTGTATAATTGTGTAATGACAAAAATGTATAAAATAAAAAATGCCAAGAAAATATTGGGTTGAATTACAAAAAATAAATAATGATAATTATTATTATATTATTATTTAATTAAATAAATACTCATAAAATTGCCCTTGGCTATAAATATCATGATTTTCAAAAATAATTATCACCTTTTTACTATTTTTTTTAATCCAAAATCTGAAAAGACGGATTCTGTCCAATGAACACACCATAATTCCTAAACCCCCAAAGGACAGTTTAAATGTATTACAGTGTCAATCAGTTTGGTATTTCTTAAACAATGATTAAATATTTACAGAACCCCTCTTTAGTTTATTTCCCATAGATCAGTTATAGATAAAAAAATTAATTTTCAATATTTAAATTATATTATTTAATTAACTAAATACTTTAGAAATTTCCCTTGGCTACAAGTATTAGCTAGACATGATTTTCAAAAATAATTATAACATTTTTACTATTTGTTTAATCCAAAATCTGAAAAGACGGATTCTTTCCAATGAACACACCATAATTTCTAAACCCCCAAAGGACAGTTTAAATGTATTACAGTGTCAATCAGTTTGGTATTTCTTAAACAATGATTAAATATTTACAGAACCCCTCTTTAGTTTATTTCCCAAAGATCAGTTATAGATAAAAAATTAAATTTTCAATATTTAAATTATATTATTTAATTAACAAAATACTTTATAAATTGCCCATGGCTACAAGTATTAGCTGGACATGATTTTCAAAAATAATTATCACCTTTTTACTATTTTTTTAATCCAAAATCTTAAATTTAAACCCCCAAAGGGCAGTTTAAATGTATTACAGTGTCAATCAGTATGGTATTTCTAAAACAATGATTAAATGTTTATAGAACCCCTCTATAGTTTATTTCCCATAGATCAGTTATAGATAAAAAATTAAATTTTCAATATTTAAATTATATTATTTAATTAACTAAATACTTTATAAATTGCCCATGGCTACAAGTATTAGCTGGACATGATTTTCAAAAATAATTATTACATTTTTACTATTTTTTTAATCCAAATCTGAAATTTAAACCCCCAAAGGGCAGTTTAAATGTATTACAGTGTCTATCAGTATGGGGTGTCTAAAACCATGATCAAATGGTTATAGAACTCCTCTTTAGTTTCTTTCCCATAGATTAGTTATAGATAAAAATAAAATAAAACTGTGTTTCCTACCTAACTGAGAGTATTCTGACTTCTTCAAAATAGGGGACTCTAACGTTATAGAAAAAATTCATCTGTAAACAATAACAATTTGAATGAATGTGCTATATCATACAAAGTATAATAATATCATTTTCAGAGCAATATTTCTGAACTAAACAGATATTTGTAGCAAATTGATAAGCAGTGCTAAAATAGAGATGTTGTAGGAGTTACAAGTAAATAAAAATTAAATCTACAATATGATGTGTTGATGTATAATAATACCGTGACAACTACTAACATACAGACAGCAACAACTGTAATAATAATATAAAAATATAAAACAGATAATGATATAAAAATAATGATAGGAAGAATCTGAATAAAAAATGTGCAATAAATTAATATACTGTACACAGAGGTTGTTTTACAAAAACTGGAGAGTGCAAAATCTGGTGGAGCGCTGTTTAGAAACCAATTAGCTTCCAGATTTTTTTTTTTTCCGGTAATTTAGCAAGCTAAAGATACAAGCTAACAAAAGGATAAACAGGGAGGGAGGAGCTAAAACGCTGTGACGTCACGCTGCTGAGACCCTGTGGTGGTCCGGCAGCCATCTTGCCTACATATGGTAAGTGTCTTTCTGTTTACTTATCTACTATTATACCTGTGACTGGATAATAAAATTTGAAGCAGTATCACGCTATGTGGCCTCTTTCTTTTTTGGTCTCTTTATGAGTCCAACCATCCGCAGAGTTCTTTGCAGAGGAGAAGGAAGCTGCTATCATCCACGAGGTATCCAGGGAGGAATCCCCATCAGATGGGAGAGCTCCCCCAAGACGTTTTAGCTGACCTACTGAGATATTGTTTTCTCAAATGTGCAAAACTTTGTGCATCTGGTGAGTGCGCAATTTATTTATTTATCACCAGAAGTCTTATGAGAAGAAATCATCATTACCATATTTCACTTTTGACCTTTATGTGGACTTTTGTTTTATATACCTTACACATGATCCTATGAATTTTCATGGTATTATCTGACTGCATACTGTTGATCATATAAGCGCTGCACCTTTATTTATACAATAAAGATACAAACTGATTGGCTATCATGCACAGCTGCACCAGATTTTGCACACTTCAGTTTTAGTAAATCAACCCCACAGAATTGAGCTCCAAGAGTGATTGTGGGTGTGAAAAGCATCACATTTCTATTATACAGTTAATATTGAAGCATAGCTGTACCTGCTCTATGAATCTTCTTGCAAGGCTTTTATACACACTGGTCTCAATGTTGCTCAGATCCTCTGTAAATTTTTCATTCACGACGTAAACTGTAACTTTGACAATAATGAGTACTTTATCTGTAATGAGATACATAGCTGCTTATTCACTTCTGAATGATGGAATGATGGAAACTGACTGCTGGAAAACGTAGGTTAAAACAAGTCTGTTTAGCCACGTTTGCAAAACACGTTTATGCAGGTTTATGCAGGTTTATGCAGGTTTATGTGCGTTTGCGTTTAGAAGCATTTTTTAAAGATAAGCACAGGAGAACCTACCAGAAGCACTGAAAAGTAGTAAATTATTAAGTATTTCAGTATTTCAGACTGTTTCAGAGAAACACAGAGAGTAGAAGCAGAGACAGAAGTATGTGTTGAGATTAGCTTAGGTGTGAATTGCTCATTAACAAATCTTTTGTTTCCAAGGGTGGGAAAGGTGTTTGGTGGAGGGAGTCATTAAGGTCACCTGGCAGGGGGTCTTCATGAGGAATTTGAGGTGTGAACAGTCATTAACATATCTTTTGTTTCCAAGGGTGGGAGAGGTCTGAGGTGTGAATGGTCATTAACATATCTTTTGTTTCCAAGGGTGGGAGAGGTCTGAGATGTGAATTGGTCATTAACATATCTTTTGTTTCCAAGGGTGGGAGAGGTCTGAGGTGTGAATGGTCATTAACATATCTTTTGTTTCCAAGGGTGGGAGAGGTCTGAGGTGTGAATTGGTCATTAGCATATCGTTTG